CGGCTCACCGCAACCTCCGCCTCCTGGGCTCAGGCAATTCTCCTGCCTCAGCCTCCCGAGTAACTGGGATTACAGGCACATGCCACCATGCCCAGCTAATTTTTTGTATTTTTAGCGAGACGGGGTTTCACCATGTTGACCAGGATGGTCTCGATCTCTTGACCTTGTGATCCACCCGCCTCGGCCTCCCAAAGTGCTGGGATTACAGGCGTGAGCCACTGCACCCTGCCCGGTTTAGATCTTTTTTAAAAAATTAAATAAGAACAGATTTTTTTTTCTAGTCTACATGTGTAGTCTGTCAGAACAACTACAACTATTTGCCAAATTCCTGCAGCCCCTGTCTTTAGCAGAAGAAAGAGAACATGTGTGGCTTTTGTTTATAGCTATAGGTCAGTGTGGTGTGTCATTGATCTGATCAATGCTACCATGTACCCTGGGCATGACTCCAGCCTCCCAGAAAAGGATTGCTGTATCTTTCCAGGATCTGCTTTGAAACATTATGTATGTTTTGTTTCTCTCTTTTTACCTGTCTTTTCCTGACTGCCTAGAAGGGGTAAACTTGCTTCACTTACCCATCCATCACCCGTTTGCAATCCCACATCTATTTTTCTATGGAGTAAGGAAAAATCATCGTGAGACTTCTCTCCTACCACGTTAGAGGAGTGGTGACCAACATCCCCAACATAAAGTTTATTGTTGGTACTATGCCCAGTCTGGCTTCCTATCCCGAGTGAAACTGAGTAGTTCAGTGAGAACAAGATATTACCCAAAGCCGGCTCCATTCAGCAAATGGTGTAGGCTTCTTGGCTCATTTTCCTCAGTTCTGGAGTTCATCACACCATAAACCACAGGGACTTTGTAGGCATGTTATTGTATTAGCACCATATGGAGGCTACTCATGGAACTCACATGCAGAATGTGTGATGTCAGAGCAGTTTACATGAATCCAAATTTTGTGCAGCTGTTAGACACAGATGTTTCATTTCATTTTTTATGTCAGCACCATCCCAATAAATCCACTGATCCTGAGATTAAAAAGTAAGGAAAGCTCTGTGTGCTCACACATATTTCAGAGCCAGGTGGCTCTATACCACTTATATGGAGATGTACACTCACTACCAGGGGTCACCACAGAGCTATGGCTCTCATACTCACAGAAGGACAAATATATCTGTGGAAATCAATAGGAAAGCAGATGCAAAAGGACAGCAGCCCTCACGCAAATGAGAAACTATTATCTAGAATCGGATGCACTCTTTGCAATAGATTCCTGCAAAGGAAAATTTCAGGATGAACATCGCAATTTCTTCAGAAGACATTTGATAAAAATGAGTTGGCTTCTGAAAAGGAAAAGTTTTGGCTAATGAGTCTCTCTGACTCTACCTTACAAGCCTGTCTTGGGTTTGCCTTCATCAGGGCAAGATATATCGTTATCTTTTACCAGTAAAAGGAAACCTTCAAAGGCTGCCACCCAAATAATGCTCATATTAAAAAATAAATAGTTCTCAATGTTTCCTTGGATTTAAGAAGGCTACACACGTGTTTTTAAATGCCAGGAGTTTTAGTTATGTATGCTATTTATGACTCTCCATTATATGACTAGATGTGTTATTTAAAAATAAATGCTGAGACTGGATTTTCTGTGATTCATTTTGGATAGGTTATGGTTCTTCATGGTTTCTCCATAAAAAGAGGGCAAGAATTCTCTGCTTTTCTGAACTGGTGTAAGCACACTTTATGGTCCCAAATTAAGACTTGATTTTAATTTTTTTCTCCTTCTTTGCCTTACCCTTATCACCTCACTCCAGGGACTTTTACAGAGTCATCTTGCCTTGTGAGATGGCAGAGTAAAGCCTTGCACACACATTGCCCTGTGTGAAAGTGGCTCATGCACAAGAATCATGTGGAGTTGTTTCACTTGTCTCTCCTCCCCATCATGTTTTATTGTACTTTTTTTTTTTAATCAGAGAAAACGAAACTGTGAACATTTTAGGGCATGCTTCTCATTTCAGATGCACGGCGTGCCTAGCTACTTAAGACAGAAAATCCCCTGCTGTGTTCTCTAGGCAGGCACATAGAGCAGATTTTGTGCGATCCTGGACTCAGTTTAGACTCTGGCTCTTAATGCTGTCATTAAACTGCCATAGAAGATGCAACTCTATTTGGTATTTTGGGGAAGATCCACTAAGTGGCTCATCCCAAATTTGGTGGGGAGAAGAAATGGATTTCAATTTAGCAACAAGGGAAAAGTGTGCTTGAAATGAGGCTTAGTCAATTTAATTTGGAAGATACTGCTCTTCCAACAGAAAGTTATGCTCCATTGCACCATCAACTTCAAACATTTTTGAAACTCTCTGGACCTGGTGATAGATGCTAAAGGATTCAGGGTCCCTTTTGAGCACAGTGCTGGCTAGATTGTTGTAACTCAGGGGAGGGAACTCATGTAACAGCCATGGCTGATAAGAAACTGCTGGAAATTCTCATCTAGGAAAATTGGAAGATTTGCATGGAGGCCGCAGGACAATCATAACAATTACACAAATGCTAGTCATGAAAGCTAAACTTTGTGAAAGGTTCAGCTCTTGGTGAATGAGACTCTTTTGATTGTTTTTTATTTGTTTTGGGTTTTTTTTGTTTTTTTACTTATTCTTTTCATGACTCATACCACTCAAGACTAAGCTGTCATCCTTCTATTAATAATCACATTGTTTTCCCTGTGATAAATATATATCAATTTAACGAGTTCATGTAGGAATTTGCAGCATAAAACAAATCTTACAGAAAAAAAATCTGTGCCTGAATGCTTGATTTCTGGAGGTAGTTATATTCTTTTTTTTTTTTTTTTTTCCTTTTGAGACAGTATTCCTCTGTCACCCACGCTGGAATGCAGTGGTGCTATCTTGACTCACTGTAACTTCTGCCTCCGGGGCTCAAGCAATCCTCCTACCTCAGCCTCCAGAGGAGTTGGGACTACAGGCACACACCACAATGTCCAGCTAATTTTTTGTATTTTATGTAGAGAGTGGGTTTCATCATGTTGCCCAGGCTGGTCTCAAACACCAAGGCTCAAGTGATAGGCCTGTCGTGGCCTCCCAAACTGTTAGGATTATAGGCGTGAGCCACATGCCTGACTGTACTCTTATATTTCTGCTGTTTATCCTCTACTCTCAACACCTCATTCCCTGACAAGGTTACTCATCTTTGAGTCGAAAAAAATCCATTAACGCTTTCACTGAAGAAAATCCTCTAGGCTTTTCCTACCAAGGTAATGAGAGACTTAATGATCAGATATTGAAATACATGTGATGAGAATACATGAAATTTATAGATGAACTACCCAACCTCCTTTTAAAAGCCATTGACTTTATCCTGAATAGACAGTTTATATGTCTGATCATCTAATTTACCAAGAAATACTTTTTTAAAATATTTGATCATAATTTTTTTATCTTATCCTTCCAGTATTTAAATTATGCATATGTTACCCCTTTTGATATTGTCCACAGTTCTTCAATTTTCTGGGTTTTTGAGACTCTTTTTCCTCTTTGTGCTTCAATTTGGGAAATTTCTGTTTAAACGATGTTCAAATGCCCCGATTGTTTCTTTAACTATGTCCCATAGCTAAACCTGTTGAAGACATTCTCCAGTTTTGTTACAGTTTTCCATTTCTAGTATTTCCTTTTGTTTCTTATATTAATAGTTTCTATCTCTTTGCTGACATTATGCATTTGGTATTGCATGCTGGTTATTTTTCCATTTGAGCCCATAACATATAAATCAGTAATTTTAAATTCCATGTATGATAATTCCAATATCTGTGTCATATCTGATTCTAGTTCTGATGATCACTCTGTCCCTTCAGGCTGTCCCTTTCTTATCTTTTAGTGTGCCTTGTGATTTTTTTTGTTGAGAGCCACATATTATGTATTTCTGATAGGTACTGAAGTAAATGGGCTTTTTGTGTGAGGATTTATGTTAATCTGACCTGGAGTTGGGCAGTGTTTAATGATTATTATAGCTGTGAGTTCCAGAAGCCTCAAATTCCTCTAGTGTCCTTGTTTTTGTCCTCCCTCTTGCCTTTGTGGCTCCGTTTGTATTGCTACTCAGAGTCTGGATCTTGCAGCTCTTTCAGCTGTAATCGACTGAAAGTATATTGATATGGTGGTAAAGTATGAAGAAGAGGAGGTGTTCTATAATCTTCTAATTAAGTCTCTGTCTTTCATTGGGCCTATGTCTCAAGGGCATGGCCTTCATAAGTATTTCTGTCCCTTTTCCCTTATAGAGGACCCCACATCACCCAACCCCTCCTTCTCTTACTATACTCTAGTCCTAGTGCCCTACTATGTTTGTTTTGGTTTTCCTTTTGTTTCTTTTAGGTTAGACAGGAAGTCTAGGGAGTGAAGTAGGGTGAAAATCCACTCCACCAGGTAGAATAAGGCTTCAGTATTGCCCTATACTGTAGTCTCCACTTATTTGTGGCTGATATGTTCCAAGACCACCAGTGGATGCCTGAAAACTCAGATAGTACTAAACTCTACATATTCTGTGTTTTTTCCTATACATATACACCTGTGATAAGGTTTAATTTCTGCATTAGGTACAGTAAGAGATTAACAATAACTAATAAGAGAAAAATCATAACAATATACTGTAATGAAAGTTATGTGAATGTGATTTCTCTCTGAAAATATCTTTATACTATACTATACCACAGGTAACAAACCATGAAAAGCAAAACTATGGATAAGCGGGGAGACTACTTTACCCTTGGAGAGTAGGCTTTTGTTACAGGGAAGCAGCTCAGAGGGTTACCCTATTGTTGCTCTTTCCACCGCCTTTCCAGGGCCACAAGGGGGGTTTCTCAACTTCTTACCCTGAGAACCTGGTAGGATTCTGAAGGAGAAAGACCTCAAAATTGTGGCAAGAAGTATTTAATACCCCTGTGATTGGGGCTTCACTGTTCTCACTGCCACATTAGTCCACACTTGACTTCTAGCAATTCTTCACATTTACTGGTGAAGTAAGTGTTGCCACTCTTTTTCCTACAGTGGCTTCTGCTGTATCTCTCTAGATGAACCTGTCTCCAGATCTCAGGGTGTGGTTTACTCTGAAACTTCAGTTCTCTCACAGATCCAAAAAAGTCATTGATTTTTAGTCTGTCTAGCTTTTTCTCATAGGGATGGGAATGGTGACTTCCAAGCTTTTTACACACATCAAAAACAAAATTGACACAAATTTAGTTATAGATCTAACTGACTCTTATTTTCAATTCATAACTTTGGGCATCTTCCAATTCTACAAAAATAGAACAAGAGCTCACCCTGGGCAATGATAGGACAGAGTTTTGTAAAGTGGGGACAAAGAAACAGAACAGTAGAAATAAAAGAGCTGACTGAGCCCATATCTATAATCCCAGCACTTGAGAGGCCAAGGTAGGAGGATCACTTGAGGCCAGGAGTTCAAGACCAGCCTGGGCAACATAGTGAGACTTCATCTCCACAAAAACAAAAATAAAAAAATTAGCCAGGCATAGTGGCATGTACCTGTGGTCCTAGCTACTCAGGAGGTGGGAAGATGGCTTGAGCCCAGGAATTTGAGGCTGTAGTCAGTTATGGTCATGTCACTATACTCCAGCCTAGGTGACAGAGCCAGACTCTGTCAAAGAAAACAAAAACAAAAACAAACAAACAAACAAACAAACAAAAACATCGATTAAAAGCTGATTGGTTAATGTCAGTATACTTTTATGTAAGAGTTAAAGCAGATGAGTCGTCCTTAAGCTGACTCAGGCAGACTGGGGTCTCCTGTTTTTATGAAAAACTGGGCTGTTTTGGGATATGTCTGCTTCTATAAAATTTCAATTTGATTATGTAGCATTTAGCTTGAGTGACCCCATTCGATTTGGTCTGGTTTGTTGGAAACTAATGTGGGAGCTCAGTCCAAAACAATGGCCTCCAAAATTTTTGTTTAACATATGTCAGATTGGACACCAGAAGTCTACAAACTAAAATAAAATCCCAGGCTGGGAATGGTGGCTCATACCTATAATCCCAGTACTTTGGGAGGCTGAGGTGGGAGGATCACTTAGGGTCAGGAGTTAAAAATCAGCCTGGTCAACATAAAGAGACCCCATCTCTACAAAAACAGAAAAAAAATTTGGCCAGACTTGGTGACACACACCTATAGTTCTAGCTACTCAGGAGTCTGAGGTGGAGGATCCCTTGAGGCAGAAGCTGAAGTGAGCTATGATCATACCACTGCACTCCAGCATAGGTGACAGAGTGAGACCCCAATCTCTAAAAAATAAAATGAAATCTCATTTTTTGCCTTTCAGGTTGACAAATATTAAGATTGATAATAATATTCAATATTAAAGAGAGGGAAGAAATGGGCGTTCTCATATTGTGCTAATGGGAACCTAAATTGGTATTGCCTTTCTTGAAGGCAATTTCACACTATCTGAGTTTAAAAGGCACAACCCCTTTGAGGCAGCGCTTCTACTTGTCAGCTTGTAGTAATCCATCCTATAGACAAGCTCACACTAATGTGAAAATATATGTATAGGGTATTCACTAAATAATTTTCTATAATAGCAATACACTGTAAACAATCTAAAGTTCTATCAGTGGAAGAATGGTTTAGAAAAAACTATGATTTATTTATTCCATGACTATTATACAGCCTACTAATAGAGTAGATAGATTAATAAACTAAAATAGTAACATGTTCATAATATATTGCTATGTTAAAAATCAAGTTATAGAGTAGTATGTAAATATGATATTATCACGGTAAAAACAAAGCAAGTACTACTTGTGCATGGGGGATGAGGGTGAGTATCAGAAATAAGTACTCGTATCTCCTTAGAAAAATGTCTACAAGTGTAGATACTAAATTCTAGCCGTTAATAACTTCTCTAGCAAAGAAGGGAAAACTTCCATTTTAAAGGAAACTAATACATTTTAAAACAAGTGTGGATTATTTTTGTGATTGAAAACATGCACACACAAATCAAGCAGGTGCGATTCTTTGATTAAAGAGAAACCTGTCTGGGAAAACACAGCAATAGCCTTTAGTTCATGTTTCTAAGCAATTCCAGGAGTCTTAAACAAGTTAGATTTTTGCCTGAATAAAAGACCTCTTAGGAATTTAGCAGGGAAAGAAAGTCACTTTTCTGCCAGTGGAATGGGTTGGTGGATCTTGGCATGTGTAAAAGTGAGGGCCCAGACTGTGTCTATTTTATGTATCTTTGTCACTCTACTGTCTATACTGTGTTGGACACTTAGCAGGGTCTCAGTATATATTGTTTGGATTAATCATGTAAAAATATGACAATGTTTCTGTGACAAATTACTGTACTATGTGCAATAGGGAAATCTGGCAAGCAGTTAATAGGAAGTTTCTCTGTTCTTAATGAGTATTCTAGAATTTAAGTACTGAAGTTGCTGGCACCATAGCAATGTTGAAGAAATGAACCAAACCTAGAAAGAATGCTGCTCACTGACAGAATCTTGCTCAAACTGAAATAGCAATGAACTTGCGTGGGCAGTTTTCTCTCTGCCAGCTCATAAAAAGGACCACAGACTCAGGCAATGACCTAAAAGTACAACATTTTAGCTTTAATATTTGTGTTCAAAAGATAATGTAGCAAATGGGGCCCACAGTTAGGATTTCTTGGGGTTATCACAGGTTGTAGCGTTTGGCCACAAACTATTGAGATTAAAAGAGAGAGAAGAGACTAGAATTTATTAAGCACCTCCTGCCTACTCATTGAGAAACTAGGCACATGGTACCTAGTCTAGTGACACCAGTCACTCAGCATATGGCACCTCATTAAATCTCACAACAAGCTTGTGAAGTGTTGTTATCATCTTATACTTCCAGATGAGGAAACTGGAAGTTGAACCACTTAGATAATTTGTCTCAGGACATACAGCCAGAAAGTGGCAGAGCTGGGATTTGAATATAGATGGGCCTGGCTCCAAATGCCATACTTGTGTCTCAGGCAACCAACCTGGAATAGTTGGCTTTGACATGCCTCACTTATATTGATATGAGAGAAGTCCCTGTAGAAGACTCCTAAGGGCTTGGTTACAAAGAACTAATTAGATTGAACCATCCCATCTGTAAAACTAATCCAGAGATTTTACACCCATATGTAAGATCCCCACCCCATCTTTAACTTCTACAAGCCCTGGGGAAATGACTCAGTATTACCGAATAGGGCTCTCAAAATCTTGAGTAAACACAGGTGTGCTGTACAATTTTCTGAACCCATCCCATCCCAGAAAGCGGATACCCCCATACTGAGACAAATTGCAGTCTCAGTGAAGAACTGCTTACGAGGTCATCATCAGTGATATGGAGATGGTCACTTGTTATAAACACCCTCATGGAATAAAGCTATTCGTTTATTTTTCCATAATATTTGCTAACTCAGATGAAACGATTTTCATCTTTATTTTCACCACAGCAGATAGTTAACATGCCAGAGTGCTGCAGCTTTCAGCATGTTTAGGCAATGTTTGAGTCCTTCTCTCATATATCTTATGCCTGGGGTTTGGCCTCCATTTAGAGTACATTAAATGCTATATCTATTTATTGTCCAGCTTTCTTCTCATAGGGAT